ATTTGTAAAAATCTAGCACCCATTCTAGTTAAAAATGCTAGAGAAACTTGGATTAAAATCCTGATGATTATATGTTCCTTGACTTACTGTGGGGTTACATCTGGTTAAATCCAGCATAAAGTCAGAAACTAGGCTCCCAAGCTTTTGGCAGGTGCTGAGACCCTGGCAGAGGTACCTGAACACATGCGAGGACCTCTGGAGGAAGTGAGGCTTTTCCAAGCAGCTCTTGACCAGTCCCGGATCATTGTCTGGGCAAGTAAACTAATTTTAAAGGGTAAAATGTTTGGGATATTTGTTGGTGATACGAAAAAAAGAGCTGAGGTTAAGAATAGAGTATACATGTGGGAGTTTCACAGCCTCCCAGAACCACCAACCAGGGATCTTGACACATGGACATTTGGAGAGATTCTAACCATAGCAACCCTCCTGAAAAATCTCCGCAGAAAGTGTACACACACAGAGGTACACATTGATGATAAAATTCAGACTAACAACAGCAGTATTTCTGATGTGACTGAGATGGAATGTAATTCAGCGGACTTGCATGCCATAAATTGTCTGTTCATTCCAGTTACTGTGGAAATTACTCAATATATAAAGAACACACAGGTTACTGTAACAGATGAGCTTCCTAAAGAGTCATCCAGCAGCACAAACTTTGAGTCTAAGAAAGAGAGGACTGATAATCCACCTGTGCTCCCCAAGATTAAAGCTGAGACAGAGTCTGACCCAATGGCACCCTCTTGTTCCTTAAGTCTGCCTCTTAACTATCAACAACTGAGGTGGTGTCTTTCCACAAGGAGAAGAGTGTTTGTCATCAAAGTTCAAACATCAGGACAAGTTGACTCCATTTGCAGAGATTTCGGCAATTGAAATTCCTAAACTAGGTCTCATGTGCATGTCTGCTCCTGCACCTATGTTACTTGTGACCTCCAGTAGGTTTAAAGATGGAACTGCTCTCCATAGCACAGCCCTGCCTTTCGGGACTTTGGGAAACCAAGTGATGGAAAAGCAGAGTGGACAGATACAGCCCTAACTTCCAAGAAACTCAATTTAAAGAGTGGTAGTGACGTACCAGCATGGAGTTTGTCTGGGAGAGATGAGAGAGAAACTGGGAGCCCTCCTTGCTTTGATGAATACAAAATATGGAAATAGCGAATAGCCAGTTGCATTTTCAGTAATGTGTGCAACCAGTAGCCACTGGATTTATGTAGCAGTGTCAAACAGAAACTGAGGGTTCAGGCAAGTCTTTGATTCAAGTGGGAATCTGTATTGGATCTCAGTGTGCATAAAAGCCTGATAACAACTCGAAGGCAGGCAGTTGAAAGAAAACCATTCGGTGCAGCCTTTGTGGTGCTGTGAAGAAGCAGCCAATCACCTGCACTCTCCAGGAGGTCCTTCTCCATGAATATAATGGCATCAATTTACCTGTAGAAAATACTTCTGATTGTGACCAGGAGCACAAGTCCTTGTAAATCTAGATGCCCAGTGAGATCCTGATCTTGTTCTTGAGTCCGGTTTCTCTGCCCCAGCCTTGAAGTCACCCCCTGAAGTTTGTCCTTCAGTCACCTGCATTACAGATGTCTTCCAGTCAGTTGCCTCCTCTCCTAATCCTCATAGATCCCTCTTCCACTCCACCCTGCCCTCCTGTGTTAACTGTTGCCACTCTGCTCCCTCCACTCCTTCCAACCATCCCTCTCCCTGCCCCTTCTTCTAGTGCATCTCCTCACCCATGTCCCTCTCTGCTCTCCAATGCCACTTCCCAGTCTCCTCTTGCAATTCTCTCCCCAACAGTGTCCCCCTCACACTCTCCCATTCTTCCTGTGGAGCAGCTCATGTCTGCTCCTTCACCTGGGCCTCCAACACTTTCTTCTTCCTCCTCCTCCTCCTCATCCTTCTCTTCATTGTTCTCTTCCTCCTCCTCCTCATCCCCTTTGTCACCCCCTCTCTCAGTAGTGTCATGTGTGGTTTCCTCTAGTGATAATATGGAGGCTTCTCTCCCTGCAGTAACTTTCAAGCAGGAGGAACCAGAGAAGGAAGATCTGAAAGCCAGGGAAGAGTCCTAGTGTGTGTTCTATTTGTAAAAAAAGAATTTACTGTTTGGGGCAATTTGCGGCAATACCAGTGAGAACTCTACTTAGACAAGGTGTGCACACATCATGAGTTTGAATGTAGGGCACTGAGGCACCAGAACTTCACAGATCCCAACAAGGCCCAAGTAGAGCATATGCATGGATTTCCAGAAGATACTTTGGAAACTTCTAAAGAAGAGGAGGAATTAAATAAGTCCTTTGAAGAGATTAATGTCACCATAAAAATAATGGCTTCTGGAATACAGACAAAAGATTCAGATATTTGATTGAGTCTCAATCAGCATTACCCAACCTTTAAACCACCTCCATTCCAGTACTATCACCACAAACCCATGGGTATTCATGTGACAGTCATAAATTTTACTACCCACAATATTTCGCAGACTTTTACTATTTTTTTATATATATTTTATATATTTTTTATACTTTTACTATATTTTACTTTTACTACTGCCATTCACTGCACAAAATGTGGAAAAGGTGTTGACAACATGCCTGAGTTACACAACTATATCCTGGCATGAGCCTCTGCAAGTAACAAGAGGTATACACTAAAGAAAAATCTAGTACCATTGAAACAAACTGTGCAGCCCAAAGGCAGCAAAACATCACCAAATAAGCTCAAGTTGAATGCATTGAAGAAAAAAAAATTGTACAGAAAATGATCCTAAAAAAAATCTGCAAAACAAAAGATCAACTTGAGAAGATCCTCAGACGTCCATGTCTGCCCCTACTGCAGCTAGAAGTTCACTTAACACTGGGAGCCTGAAAAAGTAAGCCATGTTCAGCTGCCCCCAGAAACCTCTTTCCTTCCAAAATAAAAGTTTCTCATTCATCCAAGAAAGCGGACACTCATCACCTGCAAGTATCCACAGACATGCCAGCAATAGCCACCACAGATGGACCGCAGATGCAGAATATGCAAGTGCCCCTAGGAAAGATCTGGGCTCAAAGCTCAGGCCCTGTACAGTGTCCACTGTCCTCCTTGTCCTTCTGGTCCAGGTAGAATGTCAAGTTTGCAGCTTCAGTCAAGTCCAAAAAAAACAAGCCCTATTAGAATGGCCAAAATCACTCACATGGAGGGGAAAAAACCCAAAGCTATGGCCAAGAATCATTCTACTCAACTCTCGAGTAAAATCTCCTGGAGCTTGCACGTGAAGTTGCAAAAAAGCAAAACTGTGTTGCAAAGCAAGTCTATTTGGCAAGTAAGAAAAAAACAGACCTGTATCCGCTATTCTGTACCATTCATTGGTCTATCAGTCAGTCTGTTTTGGTGCCAATACCAGCTGTTTTTGTTAACTGTTGCTCTGTGGTATAGTTTAAGGTCTGGAATAGCAATGCCACCTGCTGCACTCTTCCTGCTAAGGATTGCTTTAGCTATTCTGGATCTCTTATTTTTCCATATGAACTTCATGATTCCTTTTTCTATTTCTATGAGGAATGTCATTGGGATTTTGATCAGAATTGCATTAAATCTGTATACTGCTTTTGAAAGTATGGTCATTTTGATAATATTAATTCTGCCTATCCAAGAGCAAGGTAGATCTTTCCATCTTCTAAGGTCTTCTTTGACTTCTTTCTGTAGAGTTCTGTAATTTTCATTATATAGATCTTTCTCTGCTTTCATTGACTCCTAAGTATTTTATTTTCTGAGGCTATTGTAAATGGGGAAGTTTTCCTTGTTTCCCTTTCTGAGGATTTGTCACTGATATACAGAAATGCCTTTGATTTATGGGTGTTGGTTTTATATCCTGCTACTTTGCTATATTCATTTACTTATTCTAGAAGTTTTCTGGTGAAACTGAAATCACCAGAAATAGAATCATATCATCAGCAAATAGTGCCAATTTGAGTTCTTCTTTTCCTATGTGTATCCATTTCTTTCGTCTAATTGCTTTGGCCAGTGTTTCAAGAACTATGTTAAATAGAAGTGGTGAAAGAGGGCGTCCCTGTCTTGTTCCAGTTTTTAAAGGGAATGCCTTCAATTCTTCTGCATTTTAGAATGATGTTGGCCTGGGGCTTAGCATAGGTAGCCTTTATGATGATGAGATATGTTCCTGTTATCCCTAATTTTTCTAGTGTTTTGAGCATAAAGGGGTGCTGTATTTTGTCAAATGATTTTTTGTACCTATTGAAATGATCATATGATTCTTGTCTTTTGAGTTTATTGATGTGATGAATTACATTTATTTATTTGAGTATGTTGAACCAACCTTGCATCCTGGGATGAATCCCACTTGATCATGGTGCACGATCTTTTTGATATGTTTTGTATTTGATTTGCCAGAATTTTATTGAGAATATTTGCATCTATGTTCACTAGAGATATTGGTCTGAAGTTTTCTTTTTTGATCTGTCTTTGCCTGGTTTTGGAATCAGGGTGATATTGGCCTCATAGAATGAGTTTGGAAGTGCTCCCTCTTTTTCTATTTCCTGAAATAAATTGAAGAGTATTGGTATTACTTCTTATTTAAAGGTCTTGTAGAACTCAGCTGTGTATCCATCCAGTCCTGGACTTTTCTTGGTTGGTAGGCTTCTGATGATGTCTTCTATTTTGTCGCTTGAAATTGATCTGTTTAAATTGTGTATATCATCCTGATTCAACTTGGGCAAATGATATGACTCCAGAAATTTGTTGATGCTTTCAATATTTTCTATTTTTATTAGAGTAAAAGTTTTCAAAATAATTCCTAATTATCTTCTGTATTTCTGTAGTGTCTTTTGTGGTATTGCCTTTTTCATCATGTATGCTGGTAATTTGAGTTCTCTCTCTCCTGTTCATTAGCATGGCTAAGGGTCTCTCAATTTTATTTATTTATTCAAAGAACCAACTTTTTGTTCTGTCATTTTTTTGAGTTGTTTCTTTTATTCAATTTCATTGATTTCAGCTCTGATCTTAATTATTTCCTCTCTTCTGCTGCTTTTGGTGTAGATTTGCTCTTCTTTTTCTAGGGCTCTGAGATGTAATTTTAAGTGGTTTATTTGTTGACTTTTTCTTCTTTTAAAGAATGAACTCCATGCAATGAACTTTCCTCTTAAATCTGCTTTCATAGTGTCCCAGAGATTTTGATATGTTGTATCTGTGTTCTCATTCCCCTCTAAAATTTTTTTAATCTCCTCCTTTTTTCTTTGGCATCCCATTGTTCATTCAGTAGCATATTATTTAGTCTCCAGGTGTTAGAGTGTATTTTATTTCTTATTTTATCATTGATTTCTAATTTCATTCCATTATGATCTGATAGAATGCAGGGTAGTATCTCTACTTTTTTTATACTTGCTAAGAGTTGCTTTGTAGACTAACCCACAAAATTAAAATTATCTTATTTTAAACAAAGGTGCCAAAAACATGCATTGGAGAAAAAATAGCCTCTTCAACAAATGGTGCTGGGAAAACTGGAAATCCATATGCAACAAAATGAAATTAAACCCCTATCTCTCACCATACACAAAACTCAACTCAAAATGGATCAAGGACTTAGGAATACAACCAGAGACCCTGCATCTAATAGAAAAAAAAGTAGACCCTAATCTCCATCATGTAGGATTAGGCCTCAACTTCCTCAATAAGACTCCCTGGGGCAAAAATTAAAATCAAGAATCAATAAATGACATGGACTCAAACTAAAATGTTTCTTCTCAGCAAGAGAAACATCTGTGAGGTGAACAGAGAGCCTACATCATGGAAGCAAATATTTACCCCTCACACATCAGATAGAGCACTAATCTCTAGGGTATATAAAGAACTCTAAAAGTTAAACACCAAAAAAAAACAAATAACCCTATCAATAAATGAGCCAAGAAAGTGTGAACAGATACTTCTCAGAAGATGATATACAACCAATCAACAAATACATGAAAAAATGTTCATCATTGCTAGCAATTAGAGAAATGCAAATCAAAACCACTCTTAAGATTTCATCTCTTGAGCAGTGTGAAGAAGAAGAGTCAAGAATGACCCCTGGACCGATCAAAGCCCTACGGGCAGCTGTATCCCCACATCCAGTGCCTGTGTCCTGCTGCCGTCACCACCATGCCCAAGAGAAAGGCTGAAGGGGACGCTAAAGGAGATATCACCAAGATGAAAGACGAACCACAGAGAAGATCCACAAGGTTATCTGCTAAACTTGCTCCTCCAAAGCCAGAGCCCAAGCCTATAAAGGCCCCTGCAAAGAAGGGAGAGAAGGTACCCAGAGGGAAAAAGGGAAAAGTTGACACTGGCAAGGATGGGAATAACCCTGCAGAAAATAGAGATGCCAAAACAGACCAGGCACAAAGAGCTGAAGGTGCTGGAGATGTCAAGTGAAGTGTGTGCATTTTTGATAACTGTGTACTTTTGGTGACTGTACAGTTTAAAATACTATTTTTGTCAAGTTTCATAAAAATGCAGAATTTTGTTTTGCTTTTGTTTTAAGCTATGTTGTTAGCACACAGAACACTTCATTGTTGTTTTTGGGGGAAGGAGCATATGTAACTAGTAGAATGTCTTCAAAGCTGGAATGGTGTGGGGGAAAACACCTTTCCCTTCTAGTTTTGAGAGACTTCCTCTTTGTTCCCAAGAGGAGGGATTACCTGATGTTGGCACACATGGCCAACTTGGCACAAATGCCTTGTGGTATGGAAAAACTCAAACTCATTTTATGTCCTCCTCTGCCTCTCTGCCATCAGCATAGACTTAATTCCCCTAAACTCAGACCTGTTGGGACCTGATTCCCAACAATTGGTTTTACCAGTGTGTGGGGCAATCTGGACTTTCCAGTGATGTCATTGAGAATAGTGTCCCTCAGATCAGCAGTTCCTTTTCTAGATTGTGTATCTTCAGATTAATAATTTTTGCCATTTCCATTTCATTTCCTGAAAGTCAGGATCAGCTTGTGAAAAGTTGTTAAACAACATGCTAAATGTGAAATGTCAACCCTCACTCTAAGCTTTCCCTATTTAGAGCATCAAATGAAGACTTCATTGGGTTTTATAGTGGCTTTCTGATTTTGGTAGTCCATCCAAGAAGGGAGTTTGAAAGTTGTTGTGTACTGTTAACGATTGTCTGCCCATGTTCTGCCTGAAATACCATGATTGTTTATGAAAAGTATCTTTAATAGAACTGGATACAGTTTGAAAAGAAAAATTTCAACTCACTTCAGTCAGAATGCAGCTATTATGCATACAAACAACAATAACTGTTGGCAAGGATGTGGGGGAAAAAAGGTACACTCATACACTGCTGGTGGGACTGTAAATTGGTTCAGCCAATATGGAAAGCAGTACGGAGATTTCTTGGAAAATTGGGAATGAAACCACCATTTGACCCAGCTATCCCTCTCCTCAGTCTATACCCAAAGGACTTAAAAACAGCACACTACAGAGACACAGCCACATCAATGTTTATAGCAGCACAATTCACAATAGCTAAACTGTGGAACCAACCTAGATGCCCTTCAATAGATGAATGGATAAAAAAAATGTGGCATGCATACACAATGGGATATTACTCAGCAATAAAAGAGAATAAAATCATGGCATTTGCAGGCAAATAGATGAAGTTAGAGAAGATAATGCTCAGTGAAGTTAGCTAATCCCACAAAACCAAATGCTGAATGTCTTCTCTGATATAGTGGAATAGGTAGAGGGAGCATGGGAGAAATAGAGAACTCTAGATAGGACAAAAGGGTGGGAGGGAAAGGGAGGGGGCATGAGGTTAGAAATGATGGTGGAATGTTTATTATCCAAAGTACATATATGATGGTGGTCATTATTATCCAAAGTACTTGTATGAAGTCACGAATTAGTGTGAATACACTTTTTATGCAACAAGAGATATGAAAAATTGTGCTCTATATATGTAATAAGAATTGTAATGCATTCCGCTGTCATATACAAATAAAAAAATAAAATTTTATAAATAGTAAAAAAAAGAAAAAGAAAAAGAAAGAAAAGAACAGACCTACCTGTTCAATGTAAAAGCTAGAGATCAGATGAAGGGGTGTTGGGGGTGTGGGCGGGAGGATCAGAGGAAGCCTTCAAATGGCAGCTGCAGGGGACCTGAGTGAAAGTGGGAGAGAGGATAGCAGTGCCAGGCAGGAGCTTCCCATAGAAAGGCCCCCCAAACAAAACAAACATTAATTTACTAAAAGATATTACATGTTCAACTAAGCAGTACTGCAAAGCATTAGGAAATCTACCAAGCTTGCAAAACCAGTTGAAGCTGATTCAAAAATTATAACAGCTGATTGTGGGCAGGTTTCTTGTTGCCCTGGTTAGAGTCAGGCATATGCTTCTTCAGTGGTGTCCAGTATGTGTGCTGGGCTCCCAAGTGACTGAGATCCATAAGAGAAGGGCCCTGTAAGATGGGCTAGATGAACTGGCTCCCTGTCATGGGACTAACTTAGATGTGAGTGTGGCCCTTGATTTTGGCACAAAGCAGAGAAGGGAATGATCTGAACTGAACCTTGCAAAGCAAGTTCTCTTTCATCAGTACTTTGTCATAGATTTCAAGGATGACAGATTCTGATGCACTCTTTTTAAAACTTTTCCTCACACATCAGCTCTTGATGCCTTTCTTCTAAAAGAATCATAAAGAGAGACATTAAGCTGATCTTCTGTCCTCTCCCCCTTTTTTTAAAAAATCACAAGCAGATTGCCAGCATAACTGAGAGGAAAACAGATTGAATATAGACTCTATTTTAGGCCTTTTTTAGTGTTATGTTTATATATCTAGATAGACATTATCATCTCAGATGGTTATCTGGCACTAATTTATAACTATTGTGAGAGACTATGAAGCAATATACCTATGCATAGATGCATCCAGACCTGTATAGATATGTGTCTTTGATACCTCTGGTTACCAGTGATAAGTTCTGCTTCCTCATGTGTTGAAATATAACATTAGAGGAGTACACAGAGGGGAGCACATAAAGCAGGGCTTACTTAAAAAGGTGTAACATAGACTTCTCTTGAGAGGGAGAAGAAGGCTATAACTGGCAGCCTGGTATCCCAAGATGTGAGAGCATTCTGTCTTTTTTATATGATCTTGAATTCCTTTGTTCTTCTACTCTCTTCCCGTTATCTCTCTCCTTCCTGCTTACCTGACTATGCCCAGGAGATGCTCCAGGAGAATGGCTAAAAGGTGAGAAGCAGATGGACAGGGGAAGGGCCAAATGGAATGATCAGGGAAGGAAGTGGGCATTAACCAACAACTTTTATAGCTCTCTGTAGGGAGGGACAATCCCTGAGACACGTTACCTCAGCAACAGGTTGGCACAGGGGCAGGTTATCTTAAGAAAGGTGGAGAAAGGGCTCTGAAGGTATTAACATTTGAATCCCTTCATTCTCTGAATCCCACCCTTGCCAATCTGCCTGTCTAATTCTGGCTTCATTTATGCATAGGTATAAATGAATTTACATACCAGGTTTTACACTGAAGTCTCTAGCAGAGATTAAAAACAACAAATTGGCTTCTGCCAAAGTATATGAGTGTCATTTCTCCAATTGTTTTTAAGCCTTGTCCCAAATTAGTGACTGAATTGATAAAAAATGGCTAGATTTTATTCATATTTTTTTTATTCTCAATTTTAAAAGGAATCTAACTCTTAAAATTGTAGTTTAATACTTGATTGAGTTTGTGCCACTTTAACCCTTTCACTATTATTCACATTTTGTTACATTTCTGTTTTGTTGAAATATTGTATAAAGCATTTGTAGCAGTTTAAAAGTAAAATATTTAAAATTATTTAAATTGTTTGGATGTTTTAATTGTATTATATGTGATTTACATTTTGCATTTTTTTAGATTGTTAATCTGAAGGGTCTTCCTATATGAAGTTTGCTGTTATTTTCTTGCTTCTTGTTGGAGAGTGCTATAAAAAACTATTCTAATAAGAACATTGAAATTTACAATTTGACATAAAAAAGAATTATAAAAAATATAAATAAACAACGCAACATGATTACTTCTGAAGTTCAAAAGTGGAAGCAACTGATCCCAAAGATACTGAAGTTCATAAAATGTCAGATGAAGAATTCAAAAGAATAATTATGAAAAGAGGAGGGAATTCTACAAGAATAATGTAAAACGATTGAGTAGATTAAGAAAGACACAATGGATATAAACAAAGTCTAATAAAAAGAGATTTTGAATAACAAATAGAAAATTTGTTAATTAAATATGATCTGTATATATATATACATATATATATATATTATATATATATAGAGAGAGAGAGAGAGAAAGAGAAACACAAACACACATATATATGTAAATATGAATTATATAAATTAGCACCAATTAATGTACATAAACCAACAAACACAGGTAAGTCACTACAAGCATCAATAGAAATACCTTCCCTTAATATTTTCTACTTCTTGAAGAAGATGTTGGAACTGTTAAGAAAGTGCTTCGTGCTTCATAGGAAAGATTTTTTAGTTCTTTGTACATCCCAGATATTAATATTTTACCTGAGATTCAGATGGCCAAAACTTTCTCTCATTCTCTAGGTGAGAGATAGAGATTTAATTTCATTTTGATACCTATGGGTTTCCATCTTTGTGAAGGCCTGCTCAATGGGCCAGATTGGCTGGTTCTTCCTCGTGGCTGTGATGTACATTACAAGAGCTGATGTTTATGCTGCTTGGATTCCTGAGTGCTTCTTTCCTGGAAAATTTGATATAATATTCCAGTCCCATGAGATTGTCCATGTTTTGATGGTGGCATCAGCCTTTGTGCATTTCTATGGAGTCTCCAATCTTCAGAAATTCCATTGTGGCCTAGAAGGTGGTTGTACTGATGACTCCCTTCTTTCTAACTTGAGGTGGAGGAGAAACTTTCCAAGTGCTTTTAAAAAAAATTATATATATATATATATATATATATATATATATATATATATATATATATATATATATATATAATTTTTTTTTTTTTTGCTGAAGTGAGAGAAAGAGTCTGAGTTGCCTGTTTCTAGAAGAAACCTCTTAGAGATTTCAGTACCAGTTAAGCTTTAGCTCGCTCTCACAGGTACTGGGCAATAAATTTTCTATTTCTATTCCCCTAACTGGGGAGAGTAAGGATGATCATCCCCCTTCTAAGCAATCAACCTCCTCAGCAAGACAACTACTGGTCCTTCACAGAGATAGTATTTCAAAACTCATTTTGAGATTTTAACTCATCCTACAACAATTTTGGGAAAAATTAATGGACTTTGACTCTTTAGAACTTCTGTTTTGTTGTTTTTCTGAAAGAAAATGCCCATCCTTATTTATGTCCTTACTTTGTAACCTGTCTTATAACAGGACATCCATTTTTGTAGCACACTTTCCAAAAATAATTGTAAATGGACCTATCTTACTAGGGTTTAGATCTGCTTACATAGCAGGAAGATTAAAGACAACAACTTTTATGTGGCCCAGCTTATCATGGAAGTGTGTCCAAGCATCAAATAACTTGAGTTTTAATTTATTTTCATGGCAGAGTAATGTAAAACTGGGGAAATATTTAATATTTAATGCTAAGCTTTAAAAAGAAATCTGCTATCATTGCTATGTATCTTCATGCAAAGACTGTGAGGATAATAAAGAAACATACAATAGACACTTGACATTCAAAGGAAAAAATAAAAAAGAAAAGACATGGACTAGTGGAAAGGATTGAAAAACAAGATCTAACCATATGCTGTTTGCAAGAGACTCATCTCATGGTCAAAGACCCGTACAGGCTGAAGTAAAAGGATAGAAAAAAATATTTCATACAAATAGAGTTTGAAAGCAATAATAATATTTGATAATATTAGTACAATAATAATATTAAATAATTTCAACATACCTTCATCACCAATAGGTAGGTCATCAAAGAATAAAATCAAAAAAGATTTATCCAACCTAAATAATACTACAAATACACCTAATATACACATACAGAATATTTCACTCCCAAACACCTGAATTCACCATCATTTCAGCTTATGGAATATATTTGAAAAGAGATCATATTCTAGATTACAATAAAAGTCTTAGCAAATACAAAAAGATTAATATAATCCCATGCATTATATCAGACCATGATGGAATAAAACTAGAAATCAACATCAAGAAAGATAATAGAAACCACATAAACACATGGAGATTAAACAAAGCTCTTTTGAATGAAAAATGAATCAAAGAAGAAATAAGAGGAGAAATAAAAAATTCACAAATATATGAAGACAAAGATACAACATATCAAAATTTTGGGAACAGTGTGAAAGCAGCACTAAGAAGAAAATTATTGCACTGAGTGCCTATATTTAAAAAATACAGAGAACCTAAGAAAATAAGCTTATGCCCTATGTCATAGCTTTAGGAAAGAAAAGAACAGAATTACTCCAAATTCAGTATAAGACAAAAAATAATAAAAATAGGAGGCAAAATTAATGCAATTCAGAATAAAATAACAATGCACAATATCAGCAGAACAGAGTAGGTTCTTCAAAAAGATAAGTGTGATTGATAAATCCTTAGCCAAACTAAAGAGTGAGAAGAATCAAATCAACCCGATCAGAGATGAAAAGGATGATATCATCACAGACACTTCTGAATCAAGAAGATAATTAGAAATATATTTAAAATGTTTCTTTATATATATATATATATATATATATATATATATATATATATATATATATATATTTAAGTGCAAATATT